ATTATAATATATAAATATTTGTAATTATTATATAACATTTATTTACATTTATAAAAGTAAATAAAATTGAAGTTAATATTATTATAAGTAAAACATATTTTTATTATATTTATTATTTGTAAGTTAATATTATATTAGTTCATAAAAGTACACTTAAAATAAAGTTAATATAATATAGTTTTTTTAAATAAAAATCAATTAATGGAAAATAAATTAAATAATGTAATGTTAAATTTCATTCAATAAATGAATTAAATGTATATAACAAAAAATACTGCGTTTATTTGCATATAAATTATAGGACACTACAAAAGAATTAGGAGCACTTTAGTGGCTCTTTGACAGCACTGGCCAATAAAGACTTGTTTTGTCTTGTTTTCGGTCAGGGTGAAGGAACAGACTCTTGTGGTCTGAATGAGTTGTGCTGTTCTCAAAGAACAACAGTGGCGCTTGTAGGATGGGGCGGTTCACTCAACACCCCCAGAGACGAGCTACAAAAGTGTTTACAACTCAGATCTTAAAGAGCCTGGTCATCCTGAAGTGACTGGTGCATCAGACGCTTTAAAGCACAAAGCTGTTACAAAGATCACTGTTTATGACCCCTGAACACTTTGTTCAATCCTCAATGAGATCTTTGTCTTTGTGATTCACTATGGAATCCTCCACCCATTGTTCACACTATTCTAAAATGAGAACCATAAAGGAACAAGGTCAAAGTATCACACATCTTGATCTGTGAGCAACATGTCAGTTACATTCTTTTGAATCAGATGATGAAAAAAAGGGAGAAGAATCATTTTTGGTTTCCCAAAGAACCTTTCGGTGAACAGTTCTTAAAGGAACCATTTAAAATTCTAATTCTTCAAAAATTTTAAGAACCATTTTTCCACTATAAAGGACCTTTTGTGGAATGGAAAGGTTCCATAAATGTCAAAGTTTCTTCATGGAACCAAACAGACCAATAAGGAGGCTGCAAGGAGGCTCATTGCTGATGTATGAGATGGAGAAACACTACCTAAAGTCTCACTGTACGTTGCTCTCCAACCCTCTGCCGCAACCGACGAGTCTGTAACAAACTCGAGAAACAGGTGCTTGGATGAAGATCTGAGGTTGGGCGGTAGTTCACGTCCACAGAACTTCCCCACTAGTGGGGCCAGAGTGTTCTCTCCATCATACACCGCCACATAGTCATAGCGGCAGGTCGAGGAGGCTTCCAGACTGAAAGAGTTGAACCTATCGGACAGGAAAAAATACATACCGTTGATGATTACTATGGAAATATTACAGAACAATCTAGTTTCTCAGAAAGTGATACCACTAATGGGAGAGGGGGGTTCCCTGAAAGAAAGCCTCTAGGGACAAATTACGGGTGAAGGGTTTCCTGTCTGGCATCAATACAAGATCTCAGTGGGGTTTACAGAACAAAGAGAAAGACAGATGATCAATACCAGAATGCTTTTCGCTCTGGTGGAACATAGCGGGCATGATGGATGCCTAGCAGGATTCAAGCTGTAAGGATTTTTACTTTTATTGTTCTAATTTGGATCTGTGTAGACCAAAGAGAATGTGGTTGAGGATGAGGGTCCGTAAAGAAATGGTAGGTACGAAAGTTACAAATTTGTAGAACATGAGACTTAGCAATCGATTTTTATATGGTTTTATAATGTCAAAACTTGCCCTTAGACATTTCCTTGATTATGTATAGGCATTTATTAAAGGGATAGTTGACCCAAAAATGAAAATTCTGTCATTAATTACTCACCCTCATGTTGTTCCAAACCCGTAAGACCTTCGTTCATCTTTAGAACACAAATTAAGATATTTTTTATGAAATCCGAGAGCTTACCCTGCATAGACAGCAATGTAACTACCACGTTCAAGGCCCAGAAAGGTAGTAAGGACATTGTTAAAATAGTCCATGTGACATCAGTGGTTCAGTCTTAATTTTATGAAGCATGCGTCGTGGTACTCTTGTGAATGCGCGGCAGAGACTGACACAGAAGAGAAGAATTGTTGATGGGGGGGGTCAAAACATTGACTTTTATAGTCAATGTTTTGACTATAAATAGTCAATAGTCAAAACATTGACTATTTTAACGATGTCCTTACTACCTTTCTGGGCCTTGAACTTGGTAGTTACGGTGCTGTCTATGCAGGGTCAGAAAGCTCTCGGATTTCACCACAAACATCTTAATTTGTGTTCCAAAGATGACAGAATTTTTGGTTGAACTATCCCTTAAAAGTTTTTAATGACCATTTTCGATCCTTAGAATGTGAATTGTAAATTTGTGAATTGGGACCAAGTTTTTTGAGTTCTGAAACTTACAAAATGTTTTAATTGTGCCTATGACAATATGTTTTCAAAACCTAAATAAAACGATTCCTAATGATATGACTTCTTCAAATCACTTAAATTGGATCAAACTCACTTGAGATTAATGACACGGTTGTCACGAACATATATGTAGTATGTGCAGTTGATGTTGTGATGGTAGTTGGTGATAGAATGAGATGGACTGCTGATTGTCCCAGAAGTGCCATTAAACACACCACCGCATGCTGTTAAAAACACATGAACACATAATCGATATACAGATGTACAGTAACATATACACAGTAATCATATAAACCAACATGTAGGGATGAAATTCATAGGAACAGCCCTACATGTATTTAAATGTCTTGTTCATGTGCTTGAGGCTGACAGCTATTCTTTGAGAAATTTGGGCTGTCTTCCCATAGAGCACCAAGTCAAATAGTACTTGACTGTGCATTTCTATTGTGCACCATTTACAATGAATGAGTTTGTTTGCGGAAGTAACAGTGGAATCTGTTGCAAATGGAATTCTCTTGCATATTTGCATATTCTCCCAAATCCCCTCATATTGTTTGAAAAGTGCAGCGTCCTCTCATTCCAGTGATTCTGCTCATTCCACATTTCTGGGCTCAGTGAATCAGATGATAAACAACCCAAACTTACTCTAGCACACATTTACACTGAAGCCACACCCCCTACACACCTCCATCTAAGCCACATCCTTTATCAGCACATAGTATAGTATACAGAGAACCAAAAAGTATTGCATTAAATGTACAGTTTGTTTTGTGGTTGAGGCTTACGTATGGTTCTGTATTCTGCCAGGAAGCCATTGTCATGGATGATAGAATCAGAGTAGAAGTTGATGAGCATTGGTCCAAATGTGGTGAAGATGCCTGGGATGGTATTTCCACAAAGAGTAGCCAAGGGAACACCACTGGTGGTGATGCCACTATAGATCTTTACACCATCATAGACACATGTGGAGTGTGCTAGAGGAGATGGAAACGCATGATTATTCACTTTACAGAACTGCTGTTATCCTTTGAGTTATTTGTAGATTTCTTATATCAAGATGTATGAAACAATTAGTGATTTTTGAGGAGGAGGCATACCCTCTATCTGGAAAGTTTTAAAAGTAAGCACAATCACGGTCTGATCTCCAGCATCAATAATGTAATTACAGTTGGAGCCTCCCGGGTAGTGGTCTGGGTAGTTTGGAGAAACGACACGGCCAGTTGAAGCTGTGAAATTGGCCCCACAACCTAAAAGATGATGTGAAATAGAGATATTACATTATTTGAATTATTTGACAGGGACTGAAACCTTTTACATACTATACATACGATACATACTAGTGTAGAATGCAGCAGAGAAGCCTTTGCCAGGTGTATCTGAGGACTGGAAACGAGCCGTAATAACATTTCGGGGGGCAATGACTGCAGCTGGGGCTGTAGTGCCACAACCAGTGGTCAAGAGATTCTCATCATTCTGTACATTGTCAGCCCACACCTGTCAGATAAATATAGACAGAATATGAAAAATCAATCACCAGATCCCAAAAATGCAACATCAGGGAATGGTCATCTGTTTACCTTGATGTAACTGTTTTGACACTGTCCACTTGAGTCTGGGATCTGGAAGTCACTGGCAAAGCCCATCTCTAGATGGTTTCCATCATGGGCAATGATGGTCCAGGAACATTCAGTATTGGCTGGGAAATTCTGAGGATAATTGGGAGATTTGATGGTGCCTGTATCAGCATGGATAATTCCTCCACATCCTGAAGAAGAGAAAGAAATTTGAGGGAAAAAAGTAATTTAATATGTAAAACGCCTACAGAAAGTAGACAGGATCTTTATATATATATATATATATATATACCTGATGAGTCCGTTGACCAGGTGGCAGTAAATCCTCCTCTGGACACTGTATGATCAGCAAGGAACAAAACAACTAATTTGTTGGAGCCTGATTGGATAGTTCCTGGAGAGTTGTGGCCACAGTATTGACCAATAACTGGGGATCCTGGCGAGGCTCCATTGAAGATAGTCACTGAATCCCAGGTGCACTGGCTGTGTTCCTCCACTTCAAAGTATGTAAAAGTGAGCTAGAATATATGGAAATTAAGTGACGTTAATGATGAACTTCATTGTTAAGGTTGAAAGAAAACAGTAAAAAAACAACTGACCCAAGAAGCAGTCTTGACTTACAATGATAGTGTGGCCCACCGGAGCTTCGAGAAACCAAGTACAGCGGCTCGGGCTGGGGTAGTTATTGGGATATCCAGGGCTAGAGATGGCACCTCCCTCTCCACTTTGTGACCCTCCACATTCTGTGGAAAATCATAGTCAGTTGAGCTCATGCAGAATTTTAAAGAGCACCTGTTTAAGTGGAACCAATTGAACGATGGTACCTGAAAAGTAATACGTGGCTTTGAAGCCCAGGTCACCCACAGCCTCATCGGACAGGAAGTGAACCCAGAGTTCAGGGGTGGACACTACTATGGGGATCGTAGGAGAGGATTGACCACATAAACGAGCCAAAAGTTCTCCATTCATATCTCCTGAATACGAGGAACAGATAAAGCATGCCATAATTCTTTGCTTATCAGCAACAGCTTTAAAGTAAATGGTACATTGGATGGTGTACGTAGTGTTATGTCTCTCTTTCTGCATTTGGAAACTCTTACCCAGTCTGAACTCCAAGTAGTCCCACTCGCAGGTTTGGTGATGCTCTAGATGGAGCTCATCTATTATAACCACAATGGAAGAATTCATATGATGTGGGTTCTGGATCAGCCATTCACAGTTCAGGTTGTTGCTGTAGTTTCCATTGCCAAAGTCAGGCGAGGTGAAGTTTCCAGGTTGACTGAGTATTCCACCACACACTACCAAAAGGACAAAGATTCACCAATCAAATCAGGAGACAAAAATAAGCAAAAAATATACACTAAACTCAGAGGTCTTCTATCTCACCTGCTGCCTCTTCTGAAGAGTAATCTGCCGTGAATCCACCATTAGACACAGATGAATCAGTGCTGAAAATTACAAGCATAGTATTCCCAGAAGATTTCAACTGGGTACCAGCAGGGACTGTCCCACATAACCGACCCAAATGTGGGGCACTGGGTGTCAGACCATTGATGACCTACCAACCCAAGAGTCAAAACAGCAAACCAGTGATAAAGCACTGAATTGAACAATATTCAGAGAAAGCAATACATAGTTTAAATGCCCAACTTTTTGATATCTCTAAAACATACAGATGACCTTACCTCCACATAGTCAAACATACAGGTGCCATGCTCCTCCAGCCTCAGGTCATTGATCGTAAAAGTGACCCTACGACCGGGAGGAACAGTGATTCTCCAGCGACATACTCGGCTGTGAGGGTAAAGATTGGGGTAGTTGGGAGATGATATGGTTCCAAATGGTGCGTTCAGATCCCCTCCACATTCTGTAAGAGCAACAATATCATCTTATCACCAGTTACCCAAGGAACTGCTTCATAACCAACAGCATAACTATGTAAGTAATCATGTAGCAAATGTATTATCCAAAATAACTAGTCATGAGCTTTTTGCACAGGACTATATGACCCTAACTGAACACCGTAAAGACACTTGCCTTCGACGCTGGCTTCAAACAATAAACTAAACCCTGCAGCATTCCCGCTGCCATCACTGACAAACTTTACATAGGCAAAACTGTCTCCAGTGTCCAGGGGGGTTGGAACGCTGTTTCCACAGTGTTTCCCCAGCAGGCGACCTGGTAAGTAAGAAAAGGTTAGCTTACTATCCTTAACATTCAGAAAGACTCTCAACTCTCTTTTGTGTAAGGAGGACCCAAACCTGAAGCATTGTATTCACGTATCTCCACATAGTCATTGTTACAATTGGAGGAGCTCTGCAGGTCAAGGGCAGTGTAGGTGAAGGTCAGATAGTGTCCAGTGGGACCTTCCAAGTACCATTCACAGTTAGAGTTGTCTGGATAATTTGAGTCTGGATAACCGGGGCTTCTGATGATACCACTCTGACCAATGTAGGTACCTCCACATGTAGCTAAGAAGGGAAAGGATAGTCTTTAAACCATTGAGATCAACCATAGATGGTTGGAATGTCTTGGGGATTCAAAATGGATTACCAATGGAGTACTTGGCTTTGAAACCAATATGTGTGACGCTGCCATCAGTTCTGAATCGTATATACATGGTGGTGCCGGATGAATGCTGTGTGGATGGGCGGGTGTTGCCACAAAGTCTGCCCATCAAAGCAGCATCTGATGTGGGACCATCACGGATCTCAATGTAATCATACATACATCTAGGACAGAAGATTGTGATTACATTTAATGGTCAAACGGTTACATGTACCAAAAATAAGCAATTTGATTCTTCTAAATATACCCAGTATGGGCCTCAATGTAGAACTCATCCTCAAAGTCAAGCTGTACAGCCTCTCCATTGGGTACAGTGATTATCCATACACAGTCAATATTTTGGGGGTAGTTTGATGGATAGTTAGGAGACGTGATGTATCCTGGTGGATCTCCATCATTAAGCTCAATGAGACCACCACAAGCTGGAGACAAGCACAGAGATTTCCTCTTATTATTTTATATTTCTTTTTTTTAATAATCAAATTAATCTAAAATTTCTGGAATATTGGCTAGAAGTATTCACCTGAACTGTGGGCCTCAAATACAAATTTGAAGCCACTCGCCTCATTAGAGCCATCAGAGACAAAGTGGGCATAGAGGCTATTGTCTGTGGTTTGAAATGTGGATGGAGCACTGGACCCACAGAGACGTCCTGATAGAGTCGGTGAGTTGCCATCAGGTCCGTTACGTAACTAAAACAAAATAATCAAACTATGATGGTCTTTTCCTTCATACGCTAAAGGACAATTTGCATGATGTACAGGCTCTGTTTTGGAAACAACTTTTTCTATAGTCACTCACCTCCAAGTAGTCACCTGAGCTGCAGTGATCGCCATAACCCTGTATTTGGAAAGGACTTTGGAAGGTTATGGACACTCTAAACCCTGAGGTGACCATTACTTGCCAGTTGCAATTCATGTTGGGCTTGTAGTTCTGTGGATATTGAGGAGAACTTAGGACCCCTCTGTCTGTATGGAGGAACCCACCACAACCTGATGGAGAAGACAAAAAAAATAGCTCAAACTTAGTTCACAACATCATCATGACAAGAATTTGACTCATGGACTTGTTGTTCACCTCTGGAAAAGGTGGCATTAAAGCCCCTGCCATTAATGCTGCCATCAGAGGTGAATCGAAGGAACATGGCATCACCATTAGAGTGCAGAGAGCCAGGCAGCTCCCGCCCACAAACCTTTGCAATCAGTGGAGACAAGTTGGTGTCACCTTAAAAAAAAACATACCTTATATTAAGTCATGAAAGTCAGTTTTGAGTTGGGATTTATGTTGAAGTCACTTCATATGACAAAACCTACCATCCCTGATGGATAGACTGTCATGGAGACACAAAACCTCATCTTCCATGTCCAGAGAAAGCAGATTAAACTCAACGATAGAATTTGGAGACCGGATCACCCATGAACAGTCAAGGTTATGCTGATACAGCTCGGGCCAACCAGGAGAGAATAAGAACTGGGGATTGTCTCCTGTCATCAATGTTCCTCCACATGCTCCTGAAAAGACAAAAAAATAGCAAGCGATTGTGAAATGAGACCAAGCAGCAATGTTTTTCGATTTTGAGCAAGATCTGAGAGGCAGATTTCTTAGGGAACTAACCTGGCTGTATAGTTGGCAAAGGACCGGAGCCCTGAACAGCAGTCCACTCAAGCAGGAAGCCTTTTCCTCCAATCACATTGTCAGATTTAAATTCAAGCGTTATAGTGCTGCCTGAACTTCTTACTGGGTTGGGCAGAGTCAGGCCGCAGAACTCACCCATAAGTAAAGCACTGGTGCTGGGACCATCATATATCTAGGGAAGGGAAGCATTGATCTTCAACCTCATCTACATCATATGCCTGCATACACTTATTTTCTGTTAAACCATTATGGCATTTTAAACAAGAGTGCAGACCTTGAGCTTGTCATAATAACAATTGAATAGGTCCTCTATGTCAATGTCCAGGAATTGAATCTGGATGTGGGAATCTGAGTCCACTGTGACGGTCCAGTGGTAGTCTGCATTGTTTGGGTAGGTGCGTGGGTAAAGCGGGGAGGCTATCTGTCCCGAGCTGCCCGTGATGTCATTTCCATACACTGAAGATGCAGAAAAAGAGTAAAGATATTCCCATGTAAGATTTTCTAACTTCAGGAGATTTTAACCAGCAAGACTTCCAAGGTTTTTGGTGAACAGTATGACTATTCAGACCCAGGAAACCAGCATTAACCAACATAACCACTCAGGAATAGAATGGAAATACAGGCTAGTCTTAGTTGGTCTTTTCAGTAGGGTCCACATAAAAAAGAAAACGGTAATCTATCGCTCTGACTTACAGTGGGAGAATACTGCTCTAAATCCAGCTCCGCTGACTGAGGAGTCAGAGACAAACTTGATCCAAAGAATGTGGCCCATTATAGAGGTGTAGTTGGAAGGAAGGGAATCACCACAGAAACGACCAACCAGAGTACCAGTGGAATGTCCTTCACGAACCTCTAGGTAGTCACTACTGCAGTCTGAACTTTGTTGCAACTGAAACATTCTGCATCACAAAAAGTACAGCATTGTTGGTTTTGATGAATCCACTACATTTGTGAGATTAATGTAACATCCTGATTTGCTTACATGAAGGACAGTTGTAGACGGTTCCCAGGGGAACTGGTGATGGTCCATACACACTCCACATTAGGTGGGTATACATCAGGATAGTTCGGACTGTTAAAAGCACCTGACTCCATATACAGATGTCCCCCACAGCCTGGAAAAACAGGTAACTAAATAGTGTTATACTGCAACCTAACTTGGGTGGAAAATTCATATGTATTTTGAAATAAATACTCAAATCTAACCTGAGGTTGAGGCCATGTAGGTTGCCCTAAAACCTTTCCTCCCTACTGAAGCATCTGAGATGAAGTTTACCACCAGGGCATTGCTGAATGAAGTGACTGAGTGTGGCAACTCATTCCCACAGTACCGACCTGGAAAAAGGTTACTAGTTATTACTAACCATAACTGCATCAGTATTTTCTGAAAAACCAAACAAAATGTGATAAAGTGCCAAAACCTAGATCTAATGCCTGATGTATACACACATATATAGGTGATATCCTATTGTAATCAGAGTATGTCTTTGACGTTTCCTCAAGGGAGAAATTTTATCTTTACCAACAGATGGGGCTTGGTAATTGTCTCCATCCAGGATCTCCACACTATCATGAGAGCAGTTACTATTCACCATCTCAACCTCAAAGTCAGTGAAGGACAAAGTCACATGATTGACTGAAAGAAATATAAGATAGTAGAGATCAGAGAATAAGGCAAGTAGTTTAAAGTACAAAAAGCATTGGTTTTGACTTTGAGATTATGGATGCCAAGTATGACCAGTGGACTTACATGGCTCCTGTGCCTGTATGATCCAACTACAGTTCTGATTGGGTGGGTAAGAATATGGATAACGAGGAGATGCAATCTCACCACCCACATCATCAGCAGCTATAGTGGATCCACATGCTGGAAATCAATGAGTAATCAATGAGGTTTAACAATGAAACAAACCATGACAAATTCACAAAACAAAGACTGCACTCACCTTCTGAGAACTGGGCACTGAAGCCTTTACGGTTCTGATTGTGATCTGACCTGAAGCGAACATAGATGACGTTCCTTGTGGACGTAATGGGAGAAGGCCTGGAGACTCCACAAAATTTACCCAGGAGTGGAGAAGACTCATGGTGACCATCATGGATCTAGAGAGTAGAAGTTTGTCCATAAACTGGTTTAAACTGTGATGCATTGGTCTGTAATATCATGAAATCACAAATGTTGCCACCGTGAGCATTAAATTCATCATGTGCACACAGAAAGGTCCGCTACTCACAGTCACGTAATCAAAACTGCATGAGCTGTGACTTTCGAGATCCAGATCAGTGAAGTTGAAGAAGACTCGATTGCCTACGTCCACTGTGATGACCCAGGAACAGTCCACATTGTCAGGATAGTTGCTGGGATACTGCGGAGAGTGGATCTCTCCATTGGGGGCTGTGACGATCCCTCCACATCCTGCATTTTCAAAGGAAAGATTTTAAGAAGCTCATTAGCAAAGTCTCCAAAATAATGGCATATATAGTGGCATAGTGATGAATTTTCATAATTGACAGTTGACTAACCTCCAGGAACTTCTACCCAGGTTGCATTGAAGCCTCTGCCACTCACGACGGCATCAGATGTGAATCGAACGGTGACAGTGTTACCTGTGCTGGCCACCTGCAGAGGGTTATTGGGAGGGCGTGTGGTGCAGAGCTGGGCCAATCGTGGGGAGGAGAGGTCAGGCCCTCCGTACACCTGGATAAAGGTCAAAGGTGAGGCGATACTTACAGACTAGCTTTTTTGAAGACCAGGATCATTTCAAAATGTATGAAAGTCACTATTACGTAAAAAAAAAAAAAAAAAAATCAAGTGGCTTCAAAATGATACTAGCACTTTTCTTAGACTTAGCTTGACTGTTGATATCATGACTTTTAACCAACTAGTCCCAAAGATAAATGTAATTCTATTAGTAATAGACATTTTCCACCAAGTTTGACTACCAGAAAGTGTGAAAATATCAAATTTGATTGAAATTTTGAACAGTAGCATACATCAACTGTTTTACATTGTGAAATGTTTTGCAAAAAAAGTGTGCTTGTGCTATCTCTCTTTAAGATGAATAACCCTTTCTTTTAATGTATCTCTTATGTGTCCAAATATTGCAAATTTCATTTTGTCTCTGTTGTCTTATTTACTCTACAGTAAGTGATGAGAAAGCAAGCATAGCATGTAATAAACCATCAGTGCTGGGTAGATTACTAACAAATTGTAGTCTGTTACTGATTCCAAATTACATGACAAAAATTGTAGTTAGTAACTTAATCCATTACATTACACATTTTAGGTAATATAATCAGACTACTTTTTGATTACTTTTAGATTACTTTTAACCTAACTCGTTTATCATTTCTACCCGTTTATAAAATATGATAATATTGTACCATACTGTAATCAATAAAATACAAGTAATCAGTAAAAAAGTAACTGTAGTCTGGTTACAAGTATTTTAAAAATGTAATCTAATCTAATTACAAGTACTGTAGCTACTTAATTTTTGGAATCTAATTACGTAATCCAAATTACATGTAATCAGTTACTTACTACCCAGCTCTGTAAACCATAGGCCACTAAAATTAATGCCATTTTAAAACAATATCTGGTTTTGGTCTGGCATCTGTGTGGCACAGAAAGTGTGTGTTTGTGTGCATGTGAGACTATCTCTAAGCCCTCTCACTAAGCTCTGATTTCCAGTTAATTTCTGCCCTGTTGGCTCCATTCAGTGCTACAGTGGAGGTCAGCATTCCACAGGTCTACGCTACAAAACATACACCTACAGAGCCCAGCAGATGCCAATGGGGCATGAGCAGGCACACACCCATATAAACACACACTTGAATTTTGATTTCATACTGCTTACACCTAACACATAACACTTATTAAAGTTAATAATTAAGAATAGATTTTGAGGAATACTTGCACACTTCTAACTGGGCAGTATGTACTGTATACTATTATTTAAAAAATATTTTGAAAAACCATGCTTAATATTGTTTCCAGTTCTTTCATCACACTGGGAATTGAGGGTAGTTGAGTGCACTGCATTGTGGGATACATTATCTCATGAAGTAGGCTCAGGTTGCAGATGTAATAGAGTGTATTCAATGCATACATATATTTTGCTTACTGTTTTTATTTATTCATTTTTTCATACCTCCAGCTTGTCATAGTTGCAGTCAGGATGATATTCCACATCAAACTCAAGGATGGTGATGGAAATGCTACTTCCAGGGCTTGTTTGGATGTGCCAGATGCACTCACGGTTTGCTGGGTATTTGTCCGGATAGCCTGGGCTGGTGAAAGCACCAGTGGGCCCGAAGAGTTCCCCACCACAACCTGCAGGGGGTAACAGTGAGGTACTTTGACTTTTTCTTCCCCTGTTTTTAATCAGGGATCCACATGAAAGTTCAAAACAGAAATTCTGATTCAAATGTAACAATATTTTGTATGAATATAAGGCGACCAAAAAGCACATTTTGGACATGTATCATGGTACTAATCAAAGTACCATGGTATTATCAATCATCTTATATAACTACATTATATTTTGTAAGTTTGGCATTACGTATATTTTGTAACTTGTTTAATGTCAATTCCTGTAAAGTGTGTCTGTGTAAATGTGGTCAGGGATGCTGAAGTGGACAGATAGTTGCATTACAGTGTACAGACAGGAAAAATGCTTCACGTCAAGCTTATCAGAGGAAATATGAAGCCATATTGACCCTCACCGCAAGAAAGGCAGTAGCAACAAGACTAAAATGCGGTCAGTGTAATGTGATATTCACGAAAGATCGGTCAGAACGGATTCATTCTCTCCACCCCCACTGTCTTAATCAATAACATCAATCTCAACAGCGTCCACAGGTCTGTGAGAGGACAAAGGAAGGGTGGAGCTACTTTTTAATTTTTAAAATGGATCAACTGGCTTGTAGCCATGAAATGCTTTGTTGAATTGAGGAATTTCTCCAGCACCTGCATTATTTATCCCACAGTTTCATGTTTGAACTTTCTCTTATTATAGGGACATTTCTATCTCTTCCATCCTCGTGTCTTTTCCGATTGTTTTTATTCTTTGTTTGTCATTTTTCTCTCCCTCAGCAAGGTTTTTACAGCTGCAAAACTGTTCTGTGCATGTTACATAATAACATTACAGTGTTCATTCTCTACACATTGTGTCCATGGAAACCAAGACCATTTCCTTCCAAAGAATGACATCATCACAGACAGAGGTGCATGAATAATTAAAGGTTCAGAGCGTACGTCTCTCCCTCTCTTACTGTGATCCTGCTCTCTGTGCAGAAATAACAGTCCACACCCTTCAGCAATGTTACTCGATGTCTCACAAGAACAAGAACAGAGAAACATACACACAAAACATCAGTTAGTGTGGGTTATCACACTAATAGATGGCTCACTATCTGACACATTTATGTCTTGGTGTTTCTTCTTTGATATACAAGTAAATTTAATATCTGTAATGAAATTAAATGGATTCTCTGTTTTACTGTGAACAGTTAATTTATGTTAGGTGTGACATAGTAAGAGTTAAACAGGTGTGTCTCCCAAGACAGAGAGCAAGGACAGAGCTTTATTAGTCTGTTCTCTCTAGAGGAGCGTGTAGCCTTGTTTTCCACATAGTCATTCTGGAACAGATTTTTGCTGGAAATAAGCTAATACATGTGCAGAAAATCCACTACAAATCCCAAAATTCTTCAGCAACAGCAGTTGCTACATTTAATCTTTCCTTTCTTTCTTTGCTAGATTCATTCATCACTGGTAATCAGCTCTTTCCCTGCTGGCCAATCAAAGTGAAGCTTTCCTAAGTGATGTCACTGCGTTGCCCATTAGGTCTGCTATTTGTCTTAGAGATTTAGTGACATCATCACTCAACAGACTACAGGTCACTGACTTCTGGCTGCCCAACAGTGACTCTGTATATGTTATTTCCTTCTGTTCTGAGTAGCTTATCTGTCTTTCCACTGTCATACACATTTAGATGTTTCACACAATGCTTTGAGGCTGGCACAGGTCCTCAAAAACCTTTCCATGAATGTGGTACTTTCCATGAATACCCAACTTTCCATGAAGTCCCAAGAAGTTTAAGCTCTATTTTTGTACTTTATTCATGGAAAGCATACGATCAGCTGTGTATTGTTGGATCTTACCATTCTGGTACCAGTCCATCTGAAAGCCTCTGTATGAGACAGACATGTCGGAGCGGAACACAATGTGGAGGCTGGTACCGGTGGTGGTGCTGGCTGGAGGAGGCGTGTTCCCACAGAACGTACCAATCAGAGTAGCCTGATCGTTTGGACCATCATAGAGCTAGACAGGAACAGAAAGTGAGATTAATTATACAATACTTTCTGGTCTTTACAGTAAAAGATAGTTCTGTCATGTTATATAATACATACTATAATAGATCTGTCATGACTTTATTTTAGCTAATTGCCAAGGGAACATTTTCATTTAGTTTAACATGAACCACTAAATAACTAAAACTGAAATAAAAATCAGTAAAAACTATATTATGGAAGCCCGATTTCACCATGGAATAAATAAAAGGTAATTGTGACTTTTTATCTTTTTATATCTCGCAATTCTGACTTTATTTCATAGAATTGCGACCAACTACGAGTTTATTACGAGTTTATATCCTGCAAATCTGACTTTTTTCTCACAATTTTGAGTTTATTTTCCAATTCTGAGGAAGGACCTAGTTTAAATTTGGAAATTATCCCAAAATCCAGACTATATTTCTGACATTGGTTGTGACACAAAAATGGACAATTACTTAAAATTGTAAAATTAATACATTTTGTTGAGAAAATGTACACAGCTGTCAAACCATATCAAAACCATTTACATATTGCTAAGTGCAGTGACTGATTGTGTAATGTCATAACCTTAACAAAATAACAAGAAAATAAAACAAAACGTGAAAGCTTAGTGAATTTGAAAACTGAAGTCAGATTAAAGTGTGAAATATTGTTTCTCCTGCAGTATGTCTCAAGAATCAGTGACCTTTCACAAATACAACCAATGACATCACATCAGTAATTCAGACCATCTGTTCTACTGCCTTAGGAACAAAAGTGTGCTGTAATATTGTTGGCTTGTGCACAAACTCTCACATTCCTTAAGGAAAAGGTCATCAGAGTCCAAAATATCCAACACAACTGTCTATGTATTTACCCAGCTGATGAATGCCTATCTATGGCATGAGGTTTATGAAAACAGAGCATAGCCTTTCTCAAGACTGCCTGAGGGAAAAGACAAAAACTCAACATCTCTACAAAAGGCCCCAATGATGTCATCACTGTTTGGATCGCCATGGTGATGAGTAAACGGAGAGGAACTCAAAGTACCCATTGTACATTTCAAAGACTCTGCCAGTAAATCACTGTAGTGTAACTGAATGACTTGAGCCCTTCACGGAGAAATAATAAGATAATACAAGCTTGAAAAGACATGTAGATGGTCCTCGAGTCAGAAAAACCAACGTTCACAACCCATTTCAACTTCTCAACGTGACATATTTCTGAGCAAAACAACATATTCGGTGAGAAAATGGGCGGGGCTTGAGTCCATCCATCAGGAACTGATTGGATCATGAATAGTGGGCGTTCCATATCAGAATAAAGCCGAACTGAAAGCTAAAGGTCAAGTTCACCATCAAGAGCATCTCAATGCATCCTTTTCTTATTCACATCTATTGTTATTTCTCTAACCTTTTCAAGATTTCAGGCAGGAAGTAGCCTAAAACGATGCCTAAATGGCTAATTGGCTTGTAGTTAATATTAACATCCTGTGTGACCTTTGTGATCTCAACCATTAAAGGAAAGACACTTCAGAGACATGCAAAATATGACCAGAAAGTCTATTAAGAAAGCAGATATGGTCCATTTTAATTTCATGTAGACTTTCAGCAGCAAAATTGGGTACAGTTTAAGATGAGGCTTGACAAAGCATGTGCTGACCTTCACATAGTCATAGGCACATCCAACGTGGTGCTCCACCTCAAAGGTTATAAAAGTGTAGTTGATGGTGTTGCCCATGGAGGCCTGGATGGTCCAGCTGCAGTCGGCACGAGATGGGTAGTCATTGGGGAAGTTCAAGCTCTCAATCTTTCCCCGGCTCCGGTTGGCGATCAGCACACCCTGGCAAACTACAAGAGAAAAGCCCGTCTTGATTAACAACATGAGCTGGGAAGAATTATGTCACATCAAGAACTTTGGGGGAATATTTACACCGATTTTAAGGCAGGAATACATTAAAACTGGTGGCATCTTGCCATAACGGCTAAAGCTGGATTTGACCCTGCAGTAAAGTTTTAGAGTCTGGGAAACACACTGGCATGTGACCACTGACAGCCAAAGAAAAGGCAAAAGACTGAGAGAATGCACAAAAGAAGATAGATAGTGCTGCACTGAGCTCTAAACTGTGACATTTCACCTCCACAAACATAATTAAAACAAGACTAAAAAGCAGAGAGCCAAAACAAGTCAGTGTCCTCTGGGTGAACTCAACTGCCAAATACAAAAAAACGTACGATTTAAAACCACAGCATTGCAGTAATGTTTAATTATTCACTTACAAAAAAAAGTACCATGTTATTCCCATGTTTTTGGGAATACACCATGGTAATACCATGGTATTCTTTTTTTAAGTACCATTGAAATATCATGGAATACACTGCAAATATGGTGGTCTCACTCAGTATTTTTGTCTTGTTTTTCAGTACAAATTTCTTTCTTATAACTTTCAGATCTTTCAAATAACTTTCATAAATCAAGATACAAAATGACACAAGATCATTAAAGGGATAGTTCACCCAAAAATGTTTAAAAAAATGACATTTTTTTCTTATGTTGAACATAAAAGAAGATATTTTGAAGAATGCTGGTAATCAAACAGTTGATGGTCCCCATTGACTTCCATAGTATTTCTTTCCTTACTGTGGAAGTCAATGGGGACCAATAACTGTTTGGTTCTTCAAAATCCTTCAAAATATCTTCTTTTGTGTTCAACATAAGAAAGCAACTCATACAGGTTTGGAACAACATGAGGGTGAGTGAGATTAATTATACAATACTTTCTGGTCTTTACAGTAAAAGATAGTTCTGTCATGTTATATAATACATACTATAATAGATCTGTCATGACTTTATTTTAGCTAATTGCCAAGGGAACATTTTCATTTAGTTTAACATGAACCACTAAATAACTAAAACTGAAATAAAAATCAGTAAAAACTATATTATGGAAGCCCGATTTCACCATGGAATAAATAAAAGGTAATTGTGACTTTTTATCTTTTTATATCTCGCAATTCTGACTTTATTTCATAGAATTGCGACCAACTACGAGTTTATTACGAGTTTATATCCTGCAAATCTGACTTTTTTCTCACAATTTTGAGTTTATTTTCCAATTCTGAAGAAGGACCTAGTTTAAATTTGGAAATTATCCCAAAATCCAGACTATATTTCTGACATTGGTTGTGACACAAAAATGGACAATTACTTAAAATTGTAAAATTAATACATTTTGTTGAGAAAATGTACACAGCTGTCAAACCATATCAAAACCATTTACATATTGCTAAGTGCAGTGACTGATTGTGTAATGTCATAACCTTAACAAAATAACAAGAAAATAAAACAAAACGTGAAAGCTTAGTGAATTTGAAAACTGAAGTCAGATTAAAGTGTGAAATATTGTTTCTCCTGCAGTATGTCTCAAGAATCAGTGACCTTTCACAAATACAACCAATGACATCACATCAGTAATTCAGACCATCTGTTCTACTGCCTTAGGAACAAAAGTGTGCTGTAATATTGTTGGCTTGTGCACAAACTCTCACATTCCTTAAGGAAAAGGTCATCAGAGTCCAAAATATCCAACACAACTGTCTATGTATTTACCCAGCTGATGAATGCCTATCTATGGCATGAGGTTTATGAAAACAGAGCATAGCCTTTCTCAAGACTGCCTGAGGGAAAAGACAAAAACTCAACATCTCTACAAAAGGCCCCAATGATGTCATCACTGTTTGGATCGCCATGGTGATGAGTGAACGGAGAGGAACTCAAAGTACCCATTGTACATTTCAAAGACTCTGCCAGTAAATCACTGTAGTGTAACTGAATGACTTGAGCCCTTCACGGAGAAATAATAAGATAATACAAGCTTGAAAAGACATGTAGATGGTCCTCGAGTCAGAAAAACCAACGTTCACAACCCATTTCAACTTCTCAACGTGACATATTTCTGAGCAAAACAACATATTCGGTGAGAAAATGGGCGGGGCTTGAGTCCATCCATCAGGAACTGATTGGATCATGAATAGTGGGCGTTCCATATCAGAATAAAGCCGAACTGAAAGCTAAAGGTCAAGTTCACCATCAAGAGCATCTCAATGCATCCTTTTCTTATTCACATCTATTGTTATTTCTCTAACCTTTTCAAGATTTCAGGCAGGAAGTAGCCTAAAACGATGCCTAAATGGCTAATTGGCTTGTAGTTAATATTAACATCCTGTGTGACCTTTGTGATCTCAACCATTAAAGGAAAGACACTTCAGAGACATGCAAAATATGACCAGAAAGTCTATTAAGAAAGCAGATATGGTCCATTTTAATTTCATGTAGACTTTCAGCAGCAAAATTGGGTACAGTTTAAGATGAGGCTTGACAAAGCATGTGCTGACCTTCACATAGTCATAGGCACATCCAACGTGGTGCTCCACCTCAAAGGTTATAAAAGTGTAGTTGATGGTGTTGCCCATGGAGGCCTGGATGGTCCAGCTGCAGTCGGCACGAGATGGGTAGTCATTGGGGAAGTTCAAGCTCTCAATCTTTCCCCGGCTCCGGTTGGCGATCAGCACACCCTGGCAAACTACAAGAGAAAAGCCCGTCTTGATTAACAACATGAGCTGGGAAGAATTATGTCACATCAAGAACTTTGGGGGAATATTTACACCGATTTTAAGGCAGGAATACATTAAAACTGGTGGCATCTTGCCATAACGGCTAAAGCTGGATTTGACCCTGCAGTAAAGTTTTAGAGTCTGGGAAACACACTGGCATGTGACCACTGACAGCCAAAGAAAAGGCAAAAGACTGAGAGAATGCACAAAAGAAGATAGATAGTGCTGCACTGAGCTCTAAACTGTGACATTTCACCTCCACAAACATAATTAAAACAAGACTAAAAAGCAGAGAGCCAAAACAAGTCAGTGTCCTCTGGGTGAACTCAACTGCCAAATACAAAAAAACGTACGATTTAAAACCACAGCATTGCAGTAATGTTTAATTATTCACTTACAAAAAAAAGTACCATGTTATTCCCATGTTTTTGGGAATACACCATGGTAATACCATGGTATTCTTTTTTTAAGTACCATTGAAATATCATGGAATACACTGCAAATATGGTGGTCTCACTCAGTATTTTTGTCTTGTTTTTCAGTACAAATTTCTTTCTTATAACTTTCAGATCTTTCAAATAACTTTCATAAATCAAGATACAAAATGACACAAGATCATTAAAGGGATAGTTCACCCAAAAATGTTTAAAAAAATGAAATTTTTTTCTTATGTTGAACATAAAATAAGTTATTTTGAAGAATGCTGGTAATCAAACAGTTGATGGTCCCCATTGACTTCCATAGTATTTCTTTCCTTACTGTGGAAGTCAATGGGGACCAATAACTGTTTGGTTCTTCAAAATCCTTCAAAATATCTTCTTTTGTGTTCAACATAGAAATGAAATGTATACAGCTTTGGAACGACATTTTTGGGTGAACTATTCCTTTATTTATTTATTTATTTTTAATCTTGAAAAAAAAAATCAAAGTATCAAAATTAATTGAGTTTTTACTTAAAAAAGGAAAAGATTCTGACGATGGAAAACAAAAAGTTCAATTAACATTATCTTTTCTTCCTCGTTAGATATTTCTCTTGTTTTTAGGCATAAACTCAAATTTGATCATTTTTCATCTTCTCAAGCAAATGTATCTTGATTTACTGTACTGTAGAACAAGACAAAAATACTAAGTAATTATTATTTTTTGCAGTGTATGAATATGTTCCATAGTAGAAATTAGGGCTGTGCAATTAATCGCATGCGATTAATTGCACAGCCCTAGTAGAAATGTACAAAATTTCCATCTGATACTATCTGTATACCATAAAACTGCCACAATACTTTTTTTGTAAGAGTTTGAATCAAATGTAAATAAAAAAAACTATATTTATACTAGTGCTGTCTAACGATTAATCGCGATTAATCACATCCAAAATAAAAGTTTTTCTTTACATTATATATGTGTGTGTACTGTGTATATGTATTATGTATATATAAATACACATACATAGAGTATATATTTTGAAAATATTTGCATGAATTTACATGTATATATTTATATTTGTATAATTTATATTATATATAATTATATAAACGTAACATATATTTCTTAAATATATACATGGATGTGTGTATATTTATATATACACAATAAATATGCACAGTACACACACATATATAATGTAAAGAAAAGCTTTTATTTTGGAGGCGATTGATCACAATTAATCTTTTGACAGCACTAAATTTATACATCTTTTTCGGGGTTTTCCGGTTTGGTCACTCACTGGTTTGGTAGTTAGCCAGAAATCCGCCTGTGTGGATGATGCTGTCTGTACGTAGCTTCACGTACATGTTGTCTCGGGAGGAGCTGATGGGAGGAGGAATCTGATTTCCACACAGTTTGGCCACCTCAGGAGAACTGGTGCTGTCACCATCATACACCTGGTAAAACATATACACATCAGGGAAAGATTCCAACTCAATACCTTTCAATAGCGAACTCTACAATTGTGTAGTAAATCGTCTAATTCGATGCTCTCTGACCGCCAAGTAGTCGTAGTAGCAGTTGATGCTGTTCTCCAGGTGAAAGTCTCCAAAGCTGAGCTCCACTGTGCTTCCTGCACTGGTTTTGATGTGCCAGTAGCATTCGGCGTTGGCGTGATACGGCAGGGGGTAGTTGGGAGAGGTGAAACCTCCCACACTTGTTGTCAACGTCCCACCGCAACCTATAACAGAGACACATGGTAAGTCTGAGATGGTGTAATATAGTCCACTGACCTTCTTATGCAAAATGGAATGCAAACTCCAATCAAATTGGCGTGACATTTCTGGGACTCTGGGTTTTAACCGGTCCTCTGGGAAACAATATTGTGTGTATAAGCTAGCAGGTTGATATTAGCGCTCGACATGAGCAATTCTGAGGAATAAATATTTGCTGGGTTTGCAAGGGTTGTCCCATTAAATATTGTAAAGACATTTAGATTTTTGTCTGAGGCTCTTAATAGCAACTAATCTACAGCAGACTATCAATACCTCTGGAACAGTGTTGTTCCAACATTTTAAACTATTGTTTTCTTTATAAAAAATAAAGTTGAAATAAAATAAAATATAAATATTACATAAAAAACAAGAACAAATGTTGCTTTGGCAACTAACTGAAAATAAGTTTAAGCTGAAGCACTAAAATTGCTAAAACAAACTATAAATTAAAATAGTATAAATATTATTAAATTTTAAATCAATCAATCAATAAATGCATACAAACATACATAACAAAATAAATAAAGCCAAACAGAACCATAACAAAAAGTATGAAAATGGAAAAAGCACATGGCAAACTTACTTTATTAAAAATCATTTTCTTTTTTTAAATAAATCTGACATAAAAATTAAATATAAATATTAGACTAAAACTTAAAAAACTTAACTTGAAATAAAATAAGTTTAAATGAAAGTACTAAAATTAATAAAACTATAAATCATATATAATAAATTATATTATAAAGTATTAAACAAAGTATTAAAGCAAATATTTGAAAATAAGTAATAAAAAGTTAAAAGTAAAATAAAAACTGAAAATACAAAAAAAAAAAAAAACACTGATTTGGATATAGAAATTATGATTACGTATTACGTATCCAAATTACGTATCTGCCCGAAAACAGCAAAAAATAAATAAATTAATTTTAAAAATCAAATCGCAGTTGGTCATTTAAATGACAGTCAGACACGTGGGCAGTTCTACTCCTGACTTCATGTCAACAGTCTGGCTGATATTCATCTGATTCAATACACAAGTACACAACAGGAAATGCATACCTGTCTGTGTGCCATCCCAGTGGGCTTTGAATCCCCTGTAGGTGAGTGAGTGGTCAGATCTGAACTTCAGCCACAGTCTGTTGCTATGTGACACTATGATGGGTGGACCATTTGTTCCGCAATATTTACCAATCAGGGGGGATGTTTCATAGCCTCCATCTCTGTAAAAGAAAGGAAAGTGTTTGAAAACCAAAAAGTGACCAAATCAATGACCCAAGATGCTGGAAAAGTTCCTCACCTGATCTCTAAATAGTCAAAACCACAGGAACTGAACCCCTCCAGCTCAAAATCTGTGACATTCAGCATGATCTGCATGTTGACTTCCACTATGATTTTATACACACACTCCCGATTGTTGGGGTAATTGTCAGGGTAGTTGGGTGAGCTGAACTCCCCGGTGGGTGACCTAAACACCTCACTGCAATCTGCATAGACAAAACATGAGATATGAGACAACAGTTTGTTCCTTTGTATATCTCTACATACAGTGAAATGACAATAAAGCTCACTTGACTTGACCTGAAAAAAGTCAGTCTTTTAAAACCCAAGCTTCACTATGAGGCCTGTACTTTCATGGCTTTTCAAATTGGATTTTCATATCCAATTACTGCAATAAAATTATACCTGTGCTCGCATTGATGGAGACATATTCAGCAGAAAAGCCTTCCGCAGACAGACTGGAGTCAGAGACCAGCAGGACGGTCATCAGACTATCAGTGCTGGTTAGAGATGGAGGAACGGAGCGCCCACAGAACCTGTGCACAAAATAACCAACATTTTCCAACATATTCATTTACAAATCTTCAATTAAGGGATGTCTGTGGCCTAAATCGTCAAATGTCTTGGTTTACCTGCCCATAAGAGTGCCAGTCAGCGCTGTGCCATTATCGTAGACATCCACATAGTCGTATGCGCAGTTGGTGTGATACTCCAGGTTGAAGGTTGTGAATGACAGACGGATGAGGTTGCCAGGCTCAACGGAGATGTACCAGGTACAATTGGCTCCATGAGGGTAGTCAGTGGGATGTCCTGGGCTGGTGAATGAACCTGTTGGTTCTGTAAGAGTCTCTCCACAACCTGCAAAAATGAACGCAAGTGTTGAAATCATTTGAACATGCTTTAATCAATGGAGAAAGAGCATGTGCTGCTTATTGTGGGAATCAAACCATGAACCTTACGGTTTCCAGGCCAGATCTTTAACCAGTATTTCTCACCATCACTGGTCTACCAATGTCGATTCACCAAATATTAGCATGAACACAGAAAGCTCAACTCAGTTGATTCCAATAAAGTTTGACATTAGCATGTTGCCAAGCTAACAACTAAATACTCAAACATCATATTAGTCAACTTTTAAATTAGTTTTCATTACTGAATGAAATATTTATATAAATTTATAATACAGTCATCAGCCATCTTGGACTAACTTTTCCACTAATTTATTGCATCTCAAAACAATGGTGGCAAAAAAATTTGTTTTTTACAAAAAAAATATATATATATATTAGTGCTGTCAAATGATTAATCACGATTAATCGCATCCAAAATAAAAGTTTTTGTTTACATATTTGTGTGTGTACTGTGTATATTTATTATGTCTATATAAATACACACACATACATGTATATATTTAAGAAAGATATGTTATGTTTATATATTAAATATATTTATATATAATATAAATTATATGAATATAAATATATACATGTAAATACATGTAAATATTTTCAAAATATACACTGTATATTTTCTATGCGATTAATCGCGATTAATCGTTTGACAGCACTAATATACATATACAGTATATATATATATATATATTTAATAAATAAAATACTGTAAATACTACAATAAAACCTGTTAATTGGTTAATTGTAAGTTACGTTGCCATATACAGTGAAAAACTTTAAAATCATATTATTTGTAATTTTACTGTAAAATACTGTGAAATGTATGGTTTTTGGAGATACCAGCTATGAATTATTAATTATATTTTGTGAATTATTTTTTATGTTTGTTACCAGTAATGTACATTTGGGTATGTAGTGTTATTTAGTTAATGTTAATGCATTGTTATTTACTGCAAATTGAACAGAATATTTTTTACAGTGAACATCTTTCATGTTGAGAATGTGCCTGTTTGGTCTTGGTAGGCAGCTCACTAGACAGTATATATAATATATTTGAACAAGCTACTGTACATTCGAAAACAACAAAACAAAAGTTCACCTTGCTCTGCAGATGCAAACTCAGCAGTGAAACCATGGTTGGAGACAGATGAATCTGTTTTGAAGCGGATGAACATGGACCTCTGGGTGGACTCCAGCATGGGAGGCATGTTAATTCCACAGTATCGACCAATCAGAGGGGAGTCTATGCTGGGACCATCTCTCACCTGAGTAAAGAGTGACGTTTCAGAAGAAATGTAAAGCGTAATCTGTATGTTGGCTGAATAGGATTCGCACAATGCTAATGTTGTACCTCAACATAATCGAAGACGCATGTGCTGCTTCCCTCAACGTCAAAGGTGAGGAAGTTGAGAGTGACCACATAGCCCTCGGGCTGGTTAATGACCCACTCACACACTTTGTTGTGGGGATAGGGGTCAGGGTGCAGGGGAGTGCGAATCTGACCGCTTCCAGAGAGGGTTCCTCCACAAGCTAGAGAAAACAGTTCAATTCTGAGATCACAAACTGTATATATCATACTAATATTAAATTATGTTCATTAAAGCTTTAACATATTTGCTATCCAATATTGTGTTTAATCTTAGACAGGACACAGGAAGTAAGGTAAACTGTTAGGGGCTGTTCACACAGAATGTGGTTTTGCATTCCACAGTGCTGCTTTATCATGGTTTTGTTTTTATGTAAACACGCATTAGATGGTTGTGATTGAGCGTTGCACTCATGTCTCATGTATTTTGGAGTGTCTCTTGCATGACAGCGTTCTAAAACCACAGCACTCAAAAGTCAAAAGAAGTTGAAGCTTTAAAAACTGCATCTCTAGACCTTGCTTTTTTTCCCCCACTGCCCTGCCAAAACATGTTCTATGTGAATGGCCCCTTAGGGAGCGTGTTTTCTTTGCAGCATACATTGTTCCACCAAATGAATCACACATATTCCGAAAAAAACAAAACACTTAAAAATGTAAAATGCAATATAATTAATATTATCAACAATCTCATGTGTTTAAGACAATGCATTTAGGCCCAAAACATCCTCTGCACAAGAATGCTAACGCAAATACTTCAAATAATTTCACATCATTGCATAACAAAATTCATAGTGTAGTGTAAGCACACATCAGGGTTATTATAGTTGACTAAAACTAAAACTGAAAAATTTAAGATATTTTTGTTACTGGAAATAAAATAAATGTTAACTGAAATAAAATAAAATAAATATTGAAAACCTTCTTATTTTAGTTTAACTTGATGCACAAAAAAAAAGAAAAAAAAAAAGAAAATTACTAAAAGCATACATCACAATATGGAAGATCTGTCGCTACTTCCGTGTTAATGTAAAGGGACCACGTCAAAATAAGACCAAATGCTTGTAATGTGCATTTGCATGTTTGCATAGAGTATGTTTCTGGCCTTGTTTTTACTGTTTTACTTTTCAGTGCTTTTTGGCATTCAGTTTGCGTCATACGCTTTACATAAAAAAGGAGGTTTCAGTGTCTCACCAAGTTCATACATGGCCCTGAAGCCAGCACGGGACACAGAGCTGTCAGACTTAAAACGGATCCAGAGTCCATTAGTGGTGGACAATATTGGTGCTGGCAGGGTGGAGCCACAGTACTTCCCAATGAGTGGGTCGGTCTCACCCGTCCCGTCTCGAACCTAAAAGAGATTTGACTTGGTAATGCCACTGAAATGGCGATGTTAAAAGATCAAAATGCTATTTACTTCTCCTCTCATCAACACTAATTACACAAATCATACCTCAACAAAATCAAAAAGACAGCCACTATGAGTTTCAAGGTCCATGTGGGTGAAGTTAAGTGCCACTTGTTCACTACGTGGCATTCTGATGATATAAATGCACTGCCTATTGTGAGCATAGTTATTAGGCCAGTTAGGAGAGATGATGATGCCTTCTGCGTCTGTAAAGACGCCTCCGCAGCCCGGGTCAGCTGATGGAACAGAGTAAATTGCATTACACTCAAGCAATTCATCCCAATATTGCAGGACACCTGGCTTTGCCCATTTGAACCCAGTTGTTGATCCAAGCATCATGTTCCTCTCTGAGTTTACAACATTTGCAATGTGACTGCTCACTTTTAATATGTATATAACTCCAATAAACTGTTTTATGAGCATTTGAAAGGACAGTATTCCACTGGTGGATCTGTTAAAATGATCCATAATGTAGTTACTGGAATTACTGCTAATGCATTATGACTGCAAACAAGAAAATAGTGCTGTAACATTCAATTGTGTTCAGGAAACTGTTCACAGATGATCAAAAGTGACAGTAAAGTATTTATAAAAGATTTCTATTTCAAACAAATGCTGTTCCTTTGAACTTTCCATTCATGAAAGAATCCTAAAAAAAATGTATTACCGTTTCCACAAAAATATTAAGCAGCACGGTTGTTTTCAACATTAATAATAATAAGAAATGAGCCTTGAGCAGCAAATCAGCATATTAGAATGATTTCTGAAGGATCATGTGACACTGAAGACTGGAGTAATGATGCTGAAAATTCAACTTCACCACCACAAGAATAAATTGTATTTTAAAACATATTAAAATTTATTTTAAAGTGTAATAATATTGCACAATATTACTGTTTTTACTGCATTTTTGATCAAATAAATGCAGCGAAAAACATCAATTCAGAAACATTAATTTGCCCATTAATGTAAAAAAAAAAAGAAAATCCAATCCAAACTTTCGAACGGAAGTGTACAGGTCTATTATAATCCCTAAAATGTCCCATAATCCCCCTCTCTCTCTCTGTGTTTTGACAGCATGGGCTTTACTTACATGGTGAAGTAGTGTATGTAATGTGAAATCCCCGATCGCTGATGCTGAAATCAGAGTGAAAGTGGATCCAGGCAGATGGTCCCGTCGTCTGTAGAGGTGGTGGTGATGCTGTACTGCAGTATTTTCCCAGAACCGGGTCTTCTGGGAGCAGTCCGTCTCTGATCTACAAAATAAATCCGAAAACTCAAGCATTTTAACACATACGCACAGAAAACACCTTTAAAATGAATCCAAGATGTAACAAGCTTTACCTCCAGGTAGTCAAAGTTACAGTTATCATGGTGCTCCAGACTGAGGGTGCCAAAAGCGAATGTGATGAGCAGACCAGGGTTCACATTCACCATCCAATAGCAGTCCCGGTTAGGTGGATAGTTACCTGGGTACCCGGGTGACTTGATGTCACCGTATGTGTTGGTCAACTCCCCACCACACACTGGAAAAGAAAGGAGTATTGAAATAAGATACAAATTCAAATAGTTGCTAATATCACAAGAGAGGCAATCATTTGGACCAATCCGTAAATGCAGTCACATTTTTTGGCATGCATTTTTGCGGAAATTGGTCATTTCAATAGGAACTGGACATTTTCAGGTGAGGGTGAAAGATTTCCCAATGCAGATTTCGCAATGGGTTCAAGCTGATCATGCTGATTCGCCACATTGACCAACAGAAAGCTGCTTGGTTTGAAAGTGACTTCTGTTTGAGCTGTGCTTCATACATCGCGACACTATTGACAATAAACAATTGGATCTGAGACATTTCACTAATGTGATCTTAATATAAGGGCATTCTTGGTTTACCTGGTGCCTGCGATTGCCAGGCCACTGTGAAGCCACGACCACTGACTGAATGGTCAGAGCGGAACCAGAAGTACAGAGAATTGTGGGAGCTGAAGAGTTCGGCTGGGGCGGCAGTGCCGCAGTATTTCCCGATCATGTAAGCTGAGGCGCTCTCGCCGTCGTGGACCTGCAGGAAATCGAAGTTGCAGGAGGCGCTGTTCTCGATGTCAAAGAAAGGGAAGGTAATCCGCAGAATCTGGGAAAAACAACAGATTACTGACCACAAGAAAGAACAAAAACCAAAGTTTAATTCTATAGATTACATCTATGAAATCTAGAGAAAAAAAAATTCTGATATGATTTGCAAAAAAGGCCTAATATTACATAATCTGATGACGGTGAGTTGAAAAATATCAGTAAAAACGTAAACATTTTTCACAAAGTAAGAATTAAGGTTTTTCAAATTCTATACATTTATCAGTCAAATGTCAAAATGTATCATTTAAATTACAATCTGCAAAGAAAAAAATAACAGTATATTAGAAATATTAACAACACGTTTTTGAGGGAAAATCTTGAAAGAATATGATTATTTTAAATAATACAATTAAAGGTAGACAACGTAAAATTACACATATATCAATAATTTTTCAAAGAAAAAAAACGTTTTTATATACTGTTTTTGCTATATGCATGTTTGGTTTACATTATTTTAAGTGTTAGTTTTGTATTTTAGGTTACGATTCTGTACTTGTTGAAAATAGAAAAAAAAATAATAATTTAATGGGAAAAAAATAATATTTGGTTTAAATTTTATTTTTTCATCATCACAAAAGGCTTAATATGACCTATTCTGATAATGTTTAGGTAAAAAATTAATTAAATCATTTAAAACTTTCCATTATGTACAGTTTTTTTCACAAAATAAGAATTTTTCAAATTGCATATGTATCAGTCAAAGGTGAAGTATTCAAAATGTATCACTTAACTTACAATCTGTAAAGAAAAGAAAAAAATAACAGTATATAAAAAATATGAACAACTCATGTTTTTGAAGGAAAATCTTAAAAAAAGAATATGATTATTTAAAATAATACAATCAAAATAGACAATGTAATATTACACGTATATCAATCATTCTTCAAAGAAAAAAATTGTTTTTATATGTTGCTTTTGCTATATGCATGTTTGGTTTTCATTTTTTTAAGTGTTAGTTTTGTATTTTACGTTACAATTCTGTACTTGTTGAAAATAGAAAAAAAAAAAAAAGTTAAATGGGCAAAAAAAAGACTATTTGGTTTAAATTTAATGTTTTCATCATCACAAAAGGCTTAATATGACCTATTCTGATGATGTTTAGGTAAAAAATGTATTCAATCATTTAAAACTTTCCACTATGTACAGTTTTTTTTCACAAAATAAGAATCTTTCAAATTACATATGGATCAGTCATATGTCAAAAAAAAGTATTCAAAATGTATCATTTAACTTCAATCGGCAAAGGAGTGGAAAAACGTGTTCCAATACTCAAAGAACATTACATTATAAGTTATTATAAGAACATTATAAGTTTATAAACATATAAGCTTTTTTCACAAAATCTTTAATTTTCTGTCACTGTTTGGATGTAGTACAGAAAACATCTGGGTCATGTATGCATTTTCTTCTGTCACTGGTCATAAAATAATGTCTTCATTGATCAGCTGAGAACTGCAAAAATAGTAGTAAGCTAACAACTGTTTGTCAGAGCAAGAAACGAACCATGTCTTTGTAACTAAGGGGTAATACAAGACTTCTTCACTGTACAAATGGTTGTTGAAAGCAACAATTCTATGAAATGCACATCAAAACAGGCACTATTTTTGAATCAGCACCCCAACATTAGCAAGAAACAAGTATCGGATTTCATTCAGCATGGACTGGATTTTTAAAAAGGTCACTGATGTATCTTTACTAACCTTGCTGGGGTCGGTTCTGATAACCCACGCACAGCTGACCTGGTGATCATAATCGCCCGTTCCAGGATTCGTAGGGTAGCTGAATGTGCCAGCTGGACTTTCCAAAACTCCTCCACACTCTGATGCACATAAAAGTTCATGATGTTACTGTATAGATAAACACACACTATCACATGCATCACTTCTCCAATAACACACACCTTGCTGTGGAGTTTGGCACTGCGGGCCCGTCCACTGGGAGGTGCAGGTGCAGGTGTAGCCGTTGAAGCCGTCGGTGCAGGTGCCTCCGTTCTGGCAGGGATTGCTAGAGCACTCGTTCACGTTCTGATCGCAATTCTGCCCTGCCCAGCCCGGGTCACAGCGACAGATGTAGCCAGTTGCTGTATTCTAGGGGGGAAAAAAACACGCTGACTGCTGTGGTTTCATGGAAACAGAACAGAGAGGGGAAGTTATAAGAGATAAACACTTACCTCACACTGACCATTTACACAAGGATTACTAGTTCCACAGATGTCACTGATCTGAGTACAGCCCGTAGGTCCATAGCCATTACCCACATAACCAGGAGGACAGGTGCATGATGGGATAATACTTCCTGGAAGGAGAACAATTCATAATGTAATTCAGAGATGATGATTCTTCTACTCAGTTTTATTTTTCATCAATATGCAGATTTGCCAATGATAGCGAAGATGAGACAAAAAACACACATCCTGGCAATAATTTAATGATTTTAAGTCAAACATACTGCTGAGGGAAATATGAAGAGGAAAGCAAAAACGGTTTATTAAACACATATTAACAACGTACTAATGTTTTTGAAAAAAATCTAGAAAGAATATGATTTTAAGGCTATAGTCAAAGATACACAACATAATATTACAGACATGAATATCTACAAAAAATCACAGCATTTTATTAAAAAAGTGTTCAGGAAAAAATATAGTTTTTACATGTTGCTTTTGCTATATATATATATATATATATATATATACACACTTTTTTTTTTTTATTAAAACAAAGATAAATGAAAAAAAAATGGTTTATTGTTCACCATCAAAATTGTATTTATTAAACAAGCAAATTAAATAAGCATTTTAGTCTGAGTAACACTGACTGGAATTAATGAATATGACAAAATATTGACAAAATATATAAACTGTATAAAAACGGTATATTATGCACATTAGCAACACACTAATGTTTAAAAAAACTAGAAAGAATATGATTATGAAGAATATAATCTTATAATAACAATTATAATAATAATATAATAAAGATACACAACATAAACGTAATATTATATATGAATAACTATTAAAATCCACAGCATTTATTTTTTTAAAAGTGTACTTTTTCAGGAAAAAATATAGTTTAGTTTTTATTTTCATGTGCTAGTATTGTATTTTATATTATGAGTCTTTAATTGTTCAAAATGTAAAATGATAAAGTGCATTTTAAAATAAATTGGTTTGATTTTGCCATTTTTGGTCAACAAAAATGTTATTATCTAGAATTAGATGCTTTTAGTCACAAAATTAATGAATATCACCAAATATTGATAAAATTATAAGAATATTTCCATCAAAAGACAAACACTGACTAAAACAAACAAACCTGTAAAAATGGACACATATAGCAACAATATCTTTTATATCAGGAGGTTACAACACAACAATTAAAGTTTAACACCCTTTTTATTGATCCTGTTATAACATAAATGCTACTAGTCATGCGCTGCTGTAAAGAATAACTACAGTAAAAGTGTGCAGTGATTGTGTGTGTGTGTGTGTGTGTGTGTGTGTGTGTGTGTGTACCTGGAGTA